TCCACCATAGCCGGCCGCCCCCAACGCTTCGTCTACCTCCATCCCCTACACCTATCCACCATAGCCGACCACCCCCAACCCTTCTTCCACCTCCATCACCTACACCNATCCACCATAGCCGACCACCCCCAACCCTTCTTCCACCTCCATCACCTACACCCATCCACCATAGCCAGCCACCCCCGACCCTCCTTCCGCCTCCATCACCTACGCCGATCCACCATAGCCGAGCACCCCCAACCCTTCTTCCACCTCCYTCACCTACACCCATCCACCATAGCCGACCATCCTCAACCCTTTTTCTACCTCCATCACTTAYACCCATCCACCATAGCCGACCACCCCCAACCCTTCTTCCACCTCCATCACCTACACCCATCCACCATAGCGGACCAATTCCAACCCTTCTTCCGCCTCCATCACCTACACTCATCTACCATAAACCAACCACCCCGACCCATCTTCCCTATCGTCTCCTTCACCCGCTCGAAAGTCATGAGGATCGCAAGGGAGTACAAGGGATTCTGGGTAGAGACAGGTCAAGGGGGCAAGGTCGATTAGGATGTGAAACTTCTTGATCTCTCTCTCTCTCTCTCTCTCTCTCTCTCTCTCTCTCTCTCTCTCTCTCTCTCTCTCACTCTTCCTCTTTCCCTCCTCCCCCATTCCTTCGAACTCTTTAGCCCTTGCCCCTTCCCTCACCCCTTCCCCTCTATGGCATGTGACTAACCTCTACCCTCGCCTGTTACATTGCTAGGGGACGAACGGAAAAAAACTTGGTCCTCACTTGGTGGAAAGCGAGGGCAAGGGAAGGACTGCCGGCCCATTGTGCCACCAGGAAGGAAAGGATACCAGGCTGATTGGAACATTTGTGAAAGCGGAACGGAGTGCTGTTTGTGTGACAAGGTCAGTTGGACTCAACCATCCTCCCCGACTGCTTGACTAAGGTGAAGGCATGGTTTTGCTTGAAGAAAGGGGAAAGACAACCGAAGGAACACCGAGGGCAAAAGAATCTTAGGATTGTTGGAAGGGGCGATGTGTTGACCCCAATGGGGATTGTACTTGGGCCTCTCGTCTTGTGTGGTGTTGTGCAGGTGAGTAGTTCGGGATGGGTGTCGGGCGGGACTGGATCCACCGGAGAAACTGGAAAAGGGAGGGACTTAGACCTCGCATAAACTATGAATGCAGGATGGGTTTGACGGTTGGAAGCTTGAAAGAATGGAAGATGCCCGGATGCGGCTTGCATGGTGACTGAATGCAATGGTTCTCTTGAATGCAGTGTACGCCTGGAAGGACTAAGGGCGGTGTGGCATACTGCGTAGCCACACGGGCCCTGCAGGGCCCGTCCCGGACATTCAGCCTAAAAGCCTAAAACTTAGGGCTTACAGGCCCCATTCGTTTCAGCCTGAAAGCTGAAAAACGAGGGTCTGCAGGCCTTACCGCGTTTCAACCTATTTCTAAACTCTTTTCAGACCCAGAGTTTTCAGCCTGAAACGGAGGGCCGTTTTCAGGCCCTCATTGTTTCGACCTGCCCCTAAGACTCAGGCACGTAAATAGGGATGCGGAACAGGCCAGAAATAGCCTGTTCCTCACGAGTTTGAGCAGGAGCTGCAGCGGCAGCCCCTGCCTCCCTTCGGCAGACTCAGGAGGCACACCCGTAGTACATAGGAAGTTCCCATGCACTTCACGGGTAGGTAGTTCATTAGGCACGAGGTAGTCTTCAGGATTTCGGCCGCAGCACTCAGGAGGAGCGCTGCAGTAGTCTTCAGCGCTAGGTGGTATTAGCGCTAGCTGTAGTCTTCAGCGTTGGGCGCCATAGCTGTAGCTGTAGTCTTCAGCGCTGGGCGCTGGTAGGTGGTAGATCGTAGAGTGGGAGAGAGAGACTGGCGGAGGTCTGTGGTACTTACCTGTGGCACCATCGCTCCAGCTTCATCTTCGTGGTACCTGCATCAAGACGCCAACTTCATAGGTTAGTACTGGACACAAAGAGAGAGAGAGAGTTCTTCTTCTTCCTTTTCTAAGTCCACCTTCTCTTCTCACCCTCTCGCCACCTGACTTCTCAGACTACGACAGAGAGAGACAAAGTTGTGACTTGAGACTTGTGGACATTGGATCCAGACTTGACATTTGGGATTCAGACATTTCGACGATGGACTATTTGGGCTTGTGCCGAAGACTTGGTGTTGACGACATTCTCATCTTCCCCTTCCTCCCGGATGCAAAGTGTTGGTGGGATCTGTGCCACCAGCTATCCATATTCATCCAAGGACACGGAACCAGGACAATATTGGAAGACGCAAGGGACTACATTTCCAGACCATGTAAGACTACTGCTCTTACACACCTAAGAAGGTGAAGAGGACCGCTTTAACGGGTTCAATACTGCGTATGCATCGTTTATCTAAAGATGAGAGTGCTACTTTCACAACCATCATCTACTTGCTCAAGGAGACGCGCCTCCGGGGATAACCCCCGGAGGTCTCTCTCGGATCCTTAGCGAGATTCGCTAAGGTGGCCGAGGGTCATTGGGGGTCTTTGATCCACACAGTGTACCCTCTGCCGGGATCTCGGGGAATGAACTGAGGAACCTCTCTCTCTCTCTCTCTCTCTCTCTCTCTCTCTCTCTCTCTCTCTCTCTCTCTCTCTCTCTCTCTCTTACAAACGGATCGGTGACCACGGATTTTGTATCACCATGGCAATACCCTTTTTGGCGACAAACGGAACAGGCGAGTCGCGCCTAAGTGTCACATCGGATTAGGCACCCGACCGGAGGATCTCCGGTTACAGTCATAAAGAAAGGTTTTTTGGGGAAGAAATACCGAAATATGGACGAATGTGCCTTTATTCGCTCCTCCGTTTTTTCGCATGGGGGAGAAGAAAGTAGCATGTATCAGTCGAACATAGGTGTCTAGGTACAGTCATTTTTTGGGCGAATGTGCCTTTATTCCCGTTCTTGCTCACGGAGTATTAGTACGGATCAAAATTTTTTGGAGAGAAAAAGTAGAAAGCATGCATCTACAGGATGTTGACGTCTTGGTACACTTTTTTTTCGGACCAGGGCGTGACGGGATGCTTAGTGATCTGAGGAGCTTAGGATCGCACCTTTGGGCATACCTCGTGTACTCGGTGTGGATGGAGGCGCTCAGACGAGGAGATAAGAACGTTGCACCAACCAAAGATACAAAATGTACCGCAACTCCGACATGGGTGGTGGATTCGCACGACTTCTCGTGGTATTGTGCAAGAAGCAGGTTTGATGGAGGATCGTGGAGTGAGGGGAATGAAATGGGTACGGGATAGACATAATGCACTGAGCTGTTGGTTTCTTACCAAGCACTGTTTTTTGCGTGAGAGAGGGCCGTAACTCTCACTAATGATGGTTGGTTTTCCTCCTGAAGAGACCCGACATGCGCACGGGTCGAAACGCGTCGAGGATGAGCGCATTTGTACGGTGTTTGGAAGAGAGAACTGCGATGATTATATATATTTTTTGAGTTTTGTCTTCTCTCCGTGTGTGTGCAGTGTTTGGCCACTGTCTGTGTATGGTATGGGCTGGGGCAGTCTTCCTGTGTGAAGCGCCAGACCCATTTCACACCATGTAACGATGATGATGATGTATGTTCAGGGCTGCATTGCAACATTGATTGTTTGGATCACTGGTATCTAAGTATTTCGTTGTGCTATCTTATACTTTGTATTGAAAGGTCGGTTCTTGTTGTGGTCTGCACGTTACAGTATGCAACAGTTTGGTATCGGAGCGGACCTCTCATTCAGAGGACCCGCTCAATCAAGTAGCCAGCTTGCGATCTATTGATCACTCATTAGTAACGCAAGTAGGACTTAGTCAAATCTCTGAATTTTTTTTTCTTGCAACAACTATATGAAAATTTCTGATATTCGCATTTTCGTTCTATCTGAAAATTTCTGATATAGTTCGTTTTTACGTGACAAATATTTGAAAATTTTTGATAAATCGCATTTCGTTTTGTCCGAAAATTCCCGATAGAAGCATTTCGTTTCTCTGATATTTCGCATACATAGCTGAAATTTCTGAAGTTAGTATTTTCGTTCTCTAGGCATATTGGGATAACGATAGAAGTGGTCATATTCTCGGAAACTGAAATTATTATTTTCTGAAAATCGCATTTCCATTCTATCTCGCAATTTTTTTTAAAACCGAATCTTGCGAAGCCTACCAATATTGCGTTAGGCATATTCGGAGGTTGCTATATTCTAAGAAACTGGACTTTGTTCTTTTCTGAGAATCGCATCTTTACTCCATTTCGCAATTTTTTTTTTCTTTCAAGATCGCAGTTTGTAAAAGCCGAAACTTTGCGGAACCTAGCATAGATCTCGTTCATAATACTCTTCTGACATATCCTACTCATCATAGATCGATAGATATACAAAAAAAAAAAAAAAAGGAAGTAGTCCTCTTTTATTTTTATTTTATTTTTTATCTGTTGATTAGGGCCGGAGGAAAGATTGTTGGGTTGGTTACCTACCTCCGTTTTCCCTCCCACCCACCCCTTGCATGCATCCTGGTTCAGTACAGTGCAACGTCAGCAGTGCCACGTAACAGTGCCAGATCAGTAGTGCCACGTCAGCAGTGCCAAGTCACAGTGCCACGTCAGCAGTGCTACGTCACAGTGCCAGATCAGCAGTGCCACGTCAGACATAGTGCCACGACAGCAGTGCCACGTCAGACAAAGTGCCACGTCAGCAGTGACGTCAGACACAGTGCCACGTCAGCAGTGCCACATCAGCAGGACCACGTCAGATACAGGGCCATGTCAGCAGTGCCACATCAGCAGTGCCACGTAAGTAGCAGTGCCACGTCAGCAACATGACGGGCCTGCCAGACCAACTGCCCAACGAGTCCCTTGCAGCTTACAAGCAGCGGTTCCAGGCTCAGATAGAGGCTGAGGAACAACTCCAGCTAGCAGCCGAGGCTGCCCGCGTACAGGCTGAAGAGGCAGCAGCAGCAAAGCAACTGCAGCTACAAGCCGATGCAGACGCAGATGCCCAGRCTCGCCGCAAGGAAGCCCAGGATCTGCTGCAGTGGCATGAAGCCAACAGCATCGACAGACTCAAGTTCTGGCATTTTGAACCAAACGGCGACGAGGCAACACCGGAAGAGAAGCACAAGGAGTTCCTCTCCAAACTCGTGACAAGGTTGTTGTACGCTTGCAACTACCAACGGTCAGAGTTGGAGAGACAGTACCAGGACCTGACGCAACGGCATCAGGAGTTGGCAAAGCTCCGCCGCATGGTGCAGAGCCATGAGGATGCAACTCGGGCACTCAATGCCCGATTGCTGGACCTGGAACAAGCTGTACCAGGACCAGCTGATAGAGCTTCCAGCAGTGCACCCTCTAGCCGCCAATTGGAGGACCGCGTTGACCACGTAGTGGCAATGCTCGGCGACATCAACACTTTCGCTGCGCCGACCACCACCTTCAGCAGTCAGTTGCATACATTGAAGACCGAGGTCCAGCAGCTGCAGACGACGAACGCGGATGGCAACCCGAAGATGTATAAAATGCCAACTTTCAATCTGGAGAGGTTCGACGACTACACACAGCAGGATCCGGTCCTCTGGTGGGAAGCATTCACAACGCAACTCAGGATTCTGCCCGTAGCCAAGCATGCGTACATCGGCGTCCTATTCCTGAACTCAAAGGGCGGATGCCAGACCTGGTTGAGCCACCTGGCAACCTCCCACGGCGTTGACGTACCAGACTTGAAGGACAAAGTCACATGGGAGGAACTGACACGGCTGTGGAAGAAGCGGTTCATCGTCGACGACGCGCCGACACTCGCCATCAACTATCTGTTCACCATGTCACAATGCAACACTGCAACACGGGACTGGCTCACGGAGTGGCAGAAGATTGCGGCAGTGCCCAATCTGGACATGCCTTTCACTCATCTCAGACGTGAGTTCTACAACAGATCCTGTGCGGCATTGAGCCAGGCTCTTGGTGATCGCGAGCAGTACTCAACCTTCGCTCAAATCATTGACAAGGCGAGGGAGATCATCAAGACCAACAGGTCAGCTGCACACAAGAAGTCACCATGGCAGCCGACCTATGTGGAGAAGGTACGAACTGGTTCGCGACAGCAGCACTTCGCTGCAGTCCAGCAGGACAGTGGAAATAACCCAGCAGCCACTCCAGCATCAAGTGACGGAGATCAGGTGGCTGCTGTCCAGCCGCGAAGCAACAACAAGTCCCGCAACAATGGGAAGGCGAAATCCGCATCGCAGGCCGGAAATGGACAGCCAGTACAAGTTCCATGGGTCAAGTTTGGCTTGACCGAGGCGGAGTACAAGGTCCGTGGCCGCTATGGCAGCTGCTATTGGTGCAACAACACCAAGCACAAGACCTCCCTGTGCCAGGATCAGGGCAAGGAGGATGTGCGACCCTGCCTGAGCTCGGGAAACTGAGCTCCGCGGAAGGTGAGGCGACTCCACCTTCTACTCCGCCAGATTCGGCCGCCTTGCTAGCGGCCTCCTGCACATCTGGGGAGGATGCGAATGTCGCAAGTCCTCGGTATACTTACGAGGATTATGCTGTCCACTTAGTTCCACCGCTGGACCAACCGCTCCACGTGCAACAATCCACCGCATGCACGGTTTCATCACCATCGACAACCGATTCGGCACCTTCGCCGAAACCTATCGCCGGGGATTCGACGTCATGGTCAAGACTTGAAGAGCTCGACCCATTGATGTTCACGGACTTCCAGTGGATGCCCGTTCCCTCGACCAGACGATTGCCAAAACCGCATTGCAATGTGCTCATGGCACAACTACGAGATTACTTGCACACTGCAGTACCGACTCCGTTGATGGACGCCGGAGTAGAGGTTGTCGACCTTCACGTTTACATTGTGAAGATCGACCGCGAGTTCAAGACACAACAGTACGACGACATCGACGCACCATTGCTATGCGTACGCATTCAGATCGGAGAGGCGACCTGCAGTGCCTTGATCGATTGCGGAGCATCTCGCAACTACATCAGCCAGGACTTCATGGTGCACGCCGGCCTTGGCCCATGTGTCCGGAGGAAGCCCCAGCCTACGCAAGTCACATTGGCGGACGGTCACACGCACAAGTCAATCGACCGGTGCATTGACAACGTCCCAGTGTACTTTGCCCCTCACGCAAGTGAGGCGGTGTCCTTTGACATTCTGGACACCAAATTCGACATGATCTTGGGCATGTCATGGCTGCGAAGCAAGGATCACCCGGTGAACTTCTT